GCCCATTAGTCCCTGAAATCCACGGATCTGAGAAGAGCTTGATTATGTATCTACAGATCCCGAATACCGAGACCACCAGCATGAATGGGCTTACAAGCTGTTTCCCAGGAAAAGTAATGAAACTTGCGAGTACTTGTCTCATGGCCCCAAAGAAAAGCCCTGCGGATCTGATCCAGTTTGGAGATAATCTTCAAAGGAAACTTAACACATGCCATCATATAATTCGGCAAAACAGATAAAACTGAATTGATAAGAACTAAACGACCCCTTTTAGATAAAGATTCAGATTTCCAACCAGTCAATCTTGTGCGAAATCGTCGAATTAAATGCTCAAAACAATCAGCTGGAGCGGGTCCGAGCAAAGAATGGACGCCTAAATACTTAAATAGTGTGGAAATGCTAGTTAATAGAACAATGGAAGAATGAAAACACAAAAGAGGTATATAGCTATTATGCCGATATTTCGATTCAAGCTAATGATGACGTCAAAGTGAACTATAACCTAAAATCAGTGCAAATTGCACAAATCTTGATTTTTAACATCTTAAGAAATAAGAACTCATTCTTTTAAAGTCAATCTATCAACTTTTGCAACCAACTTTGAAACATTTTCCAAATCATGCAACATTTTTTTTTTCTAATCAAATGATGCAACCAATTATCAAATGTTATCAATTTATACAATTTCGTCAACAATAACTAACGGAGCACTGATGTGGCTAAATTATTTATATTCTCTTTTTAATAAATTGTTGAAAAATTGATAATTAACTCATCATCTTCTCTAAATGAAATATGATATTTTTCCCTAAATAAAACCCTAGTTCCTTCTATCTCTTTCATTGAAGTTTATTTTAGAATTTTAAGAAGAATTTATTGTTGTAGTGATGTTAGTGATAAGGTGGTTTCTTGTTTCAATTTATTTTCTCTAGTTATAAAATGGATAAGAGTTTAAATTAATGGTAAATGAAGCTTGGTTGTATATATTTAACAACCTTAAAAAGAGGATTGTTCTTAGGTCAGTAAGAAAAAAAAGAGGGATAAGGCGAAAAACATATATCTGACGAGTCACTTGTGGTGTAGCAGCTTAGGGGAGGTTAGGAGACCCTTTTGTAGTTCTTCGAGTTGCAGGGCGGAATGGGTTCGCTTGTGAAGAGGTTGTAATTCCTCCATTAATAGTTGTGAATTGACAAATTTGGAACATATTTTGATGAAATTTAGAGCTAGAGTTTTTTATTTGGGTAGATTGACTTCAATTTAGGGAAGAAGATGGGTTTAGCTTTTGTATTATATTAAAATAATAATTAATCAATGATATGTGAAAAATAAAAATATGATTCATCACTCCATTAACGAATTGTTGACGGAATAGCATAGATCGGTAGAATTTGATAGTTGGTTGCATCATTTGATTAAAAAAAAAATGTTACATGATTTGAGCAAAGTGGCAAAGTTGGTTGCATAAGTTGATAGATTGACCTTATTTTAAAGAACTTAACTTTTCAACCATGTATCGACATTGTTTGTATGCATCACTTGATGTTTAATCACCCTAAGATACAATCAGTATTCACCCTAGATTTTATTCAAACTAACAACAACATAAACTACAGAAAATATAGTTCGACCACTCAAAAACATGTTAATACTATCTATATGCATCAGAAGTTAACACTTAACAGTTATGTTGTCTAAGGCAAGACGCTAAGCACCCACAATTTTTTCCCAGCACCTAGGCTGCCCAGGAACTGACCTGAACCTGGCAAACTCTGTAATTCTGTATTGATGACGATGAAAACTCAAAATATATTCTAATATTCCATAACATTGTTCAATCAGTTGTTATGTTTAAAACCCAAACCCAGTTTTAGTTTTAGAATAAAGGCCATAACAGAAAGCCCATTCGTTTTAAAATTTAAAGTTAACCTAAGCCTATCTTATCAAGTTGTAGTCGCCTTCCTCCACTATATATAGTTGCAGCTTATAGATACTTTATCTTCTT